AAGTTAAGTTTATTTGTAGTTTTTATGGGCGCCATATCAAAAATTGCAAACATCAATACCCACGGAAGCATATAGAGATGTCTAACTGTGGGTTTCATGTACCGCCATCCTTTGTTTTGCAATTGTTTAATGATACCAAACAGATAGAGTCAAATTACAGTTTCGTCTCTTCCAAAAAGTCCTTTTTCCACCGAATAATTTGAATGACCTCCACAAAATTGACATGAGAGGAAGACAGGATGAAAATTGGGTTACAAGACATGCTCAATTGATCGAGATATGGAACAACAGACGTGAGCTGACAATAACGGGTCATCTAATGTAAGGCCCACTGTGTCACACACAAAAATACATAAAATGGTACATTGTCAATTCCATATATTTTCTATCTGTGTCACAACTACTACAAGATCCAAGAAGGAGTGACCAACAATTAGGGACTACCAACACATTTGAAATCGGTACGACTTCCACACTGTCGTACTACGAGATTGCATCAATTCCTCTGAACATTACGCTATAAGCAAATATAATTAACACAAGACATTCGTTTTCAACAACATTGAAGATTGTTTTTCAAACTTATTTGAAGTTAATTTTACGACTCCATCTTCAACACAAACTTACATGCAGTCTCTTTACTAACTGGATTTTATTAATAAATTTGGTAATTCATTAAATACATTCCAACAACTAGACCTTCATGATGATCCAAATCCTCTACAAGTTCATCCTAAAATCCCAGAGCAACAACAACAACGACGAAACCCATCACGTCACAGACGTCGCCTCCGTTGTGGAACTGACCACTATTACGGAGATAGTTAATTATTAATAGTGTTATAACTTTGTTATCATATTTATTAATACACTTTGTCTTCATTAATGTTACATTAGTAATATGAAAACGTTAATTTCAGAATATTTTTCTTAAGTATAAATAATTAACTTATAATTTAATATTTTATTTACTTTTAAAAATAATTTTTATTCTTAAATAAAATTTATTAAAAATTATAATAGTAAAGTTTTAGGATTTAGGGTATTAAAAATTATAATATTAAATAATGTCATTAAAAAAAAAATAATTTAATTAAAATAAAAATTTTATTCAAAATATTATTTTATTATACTAATATTTAGAAATATTAAGTCAAATTTACATATTTAAATAAATAAATAAATAGAATAATATTTGATATATTTATTTATTTTTAAAAAATATAGTTATTATTCTTTAGGTATAAATAATTTAAGCATTAACATTATTATCTAAAATAATATACTTATTATTTAAATATTTTAATTAATTTTTAAAAATTATCTAAAATAATTTACTTATTATTTAATTATTTTAATTATTTTTTAAAAATATAATTATTATTGTTTTCTAAAAATATTATTTATTATTTATTATCTTAAATATATCAAATAAATTTTAAAAAATATTTAAAATTAATAATAATATTATTTTTATTTATTTTTAAATAATATAAAAATATAAACATAATTCAAATAATAAAACTTATTTTATTATATATAACTAATAAAATATTTATAAATATTTATTAGAATAACATATTATAAATATTTATTTTAATAAAATATAAATATAATTTAAATAATAATATTTATTTTATTATATAAAAACACAAAATAAAAAAAAAAGACAACTTATAATTCAGTTCCTAGGAACCAAATTTTGGTGGCCAAATTTCATCTATGGGTCTATTTGGGTTTTTTTTTTTAATTTTACTGTAAAAATATCTCACAAAAGACTTTATTCTTTCCCTTCTCTAAGAGAAATTTCTCTATCATTTACGAGAAATCTTTATAAAAAAAATTGTATTTATGTTGTATTAGTGAAAAAATCAAAAAGTAAAAATAAATTTGTCGAATTGCTTAAGTAATATTGCTGTAAAAGGGTATACTGCTAGTTGCTTAACCTGTGTCATAAGGGAGTATTCATTATTCATTTGTCTATGACACATATCTCAATCATTATAGTCAAACTTTTGACACTCCTGTTATGAGAATACACGTTTAATATTGGTCACATGTTAAATTTTAGGTCTATGTCAGTAATTATGAGATGATAGTATATTAAAATAATAATAAAAATATATTATTAGTAATATAAGTAATAGTAGAATAATAATCAATTAAAATAATAAAAAAGATATACTAATGTACATGTGCACATTATTATTTGTATAGAAAAAAATTTGAAATTATTAACCTTATTTTTAAAAATGTATTATTTAAAAAAATTTTAAATTAACGTTTTTAATTATGATATAAAGAAAATGATGAAAAATAGTAAAAAAAGAGAGAAAACAATATGTAAATTTACGATCACTTTCACAAAAAAGATAAATGTAAAATAATAATAATAAAAAAGACTATAAACAATAAATTTCATTAATATTACAATTATTTCATAATTTTTTTACTCTTTTGATTCTTTATTTTTGCTAGAAACACAAAAAAAAAAAAAAATTTATATTTCATGGTGTATTTTAGAAGAAAAAAAATGAAACCAGCCCCATCTTTATTCTTATATTTTTACTTTCAATAAAAAACAAACAAATAAAAAAGTTCTTAGGTTTTTCTCTTGTTTCCAGGATTTTACAATATGATCCAAAATTCTCCCCCATTTCTATTTGTTTTGTTCTCAAATGTGATCATATAAAAACCAAGGAACACAAATTTCTTTAAACATTTGAGTCATCCAAATAAACTTTTGGAGGTAAAAGTTTCCTCCCTCGTAATATATTTTGAACAATCAATTATATATATCTGATCTCCTTAAAGGTTGAACCTTTTGATCAAATAAACATGTCTCGAAATACCTGTTTACTATATTGGCTGTGTTGTTGCTTTCTCCACCAGTGTCCAGTACGGTGATTCGTTCTGCATTGTTCTCCTTGCAATCAATGGTCACCTCCTTACGCCATCTCTTTCTCAAAAGAAGCTTTTATGCGTTTATAGTAAAATAAATATTTCATTAAATTCTTAAATTGTTCTTTTAACTATTTGTAAATAAATAAACATAATTTTCATTTGTTGACGTTAAAGACGTAGCTCTCTCTCCCCTCCCTTCCCCTCTCTCTGTATATAGTGTGGGGACCACTTACCAATTAAATGTCAACATTTTTTAAATAATACGTTATATCATTAATTCCACATCATCCATGAGGTGGATTCTATAAATAATAAATTTATTGTTTATTAATTCTCATAAAAAGAGTATCAACACCTCTTCAAACACATTGGTACCATAAAGATTATCGTGTTAATGCTTGCATTAAATGGTAAATACGACTAATAAAATTTAACATAATTAACAAATAATTACATTATTTAAGTACATTGATTAATATTTAATTTTTAATTGTGTGTATAAATATATATTTTAATGAGAAGGGTAGAATTCATTTCAGTAATCCTATACTGTAAAATATCAACCATTTATTTTATTCTAGTTTGCTCACAATGTACAGATTAAATCCATTAAAACCCATCTTAATACCTGCTTAATTTTGATCACACTGTATACTGTAAATTGTTTTGCACCTAATCTTACCGCGTTTATAAAAATAAATACAGTACGATGAATCAAGTAATAATTAAATGAAACGGCCTTTGAAATGAAATGAAAACTCACACCGAGTGCCTTTGAAATGACACATTTATTTTATTTTCACTATTCAAAATTTTTATTTAATTCTGTGTTGTATATTTTAAAACTACACATTAATTAATTACATATAGTTTTTAGTTTTTATTTGTTTAAAATTATATGAATATAAACTATTCGTGAAATACATAAAATATTTACTCCTCCCGTCTTTAAAAAATGGTCGTCTAAAACTGTGACATAGTTATTAAATATATATATATATATTTATTTATTTATTTATTTACTTTTATTATAACTTTCTTATTGTATTTGTTTTTGGAATTTGCTTATACAGTGAATGAATAAATAATAAAAATGGAAATTAAAATTTAAAAATGATAATCATCTTAATATTAAAATTATATATTTTTTTAAGTTCACCTTAAAATTATAAAGTAATGTTTATTAAAAAAAAAATTTCCCTGAAGAATTTTAAAATAATAAATAGAGGGAGACCTAATTTTCTTACAGGTTCCAATTAAGGTCATTATAAGGCATCTTATTACATACCTTACTTTGATCACATTACACACAGGATGCTGTTTGTCATCCTATCTTACCAAAAATAGATTATTTATTACTTAAAAGACACAATTAGAATTTAGAAAAAAATTATTAATAATTATATAATATTATTAAATTTAATATATTGATAATGTTAATTGTTATGAATTTTAATAAAAAAATTTATTATGTACACATATTAAAAATACTAAATTTTAAATCATTATATATAGAGTTTAAATTTAAGTTCTTTTGATATATATATATATATATATATATATATATTCAATTATTATGCATGTTAATATAATATTATATTATGATTATAATATTAAAAATATTTATTTTTTATTGTAATATACAAATTTTATTATATCAATAATTATAATATTTTATTATAAATTTTTAAAATATAATATTTCGTGATGATTTTAAAAATTAAATAATTTATAAATATGATTATAATGTATTCATAATATATATGTTTTATGTTATCAGTCAATTGAAAATAAATCCCTAATATATTAATCTGTAACTAGACAATAATATAAAAATATTTGATTTTATCAATAAATTTTAATTAAATTTATAATTAATGAATTAAAAATATTTTGAAATATAATAGAGTGTGGAAACGAAACATAGTAATAATAACAACTGAAGGTTTTGTGTGCAATACTGATATTGGTTTGATTTTCACGGGAAAAAGAGAACGTAAGAAGAGAAAAGCGGGAAGATGCGCCACGTGTATGCCACTTGGAGTATCCGTGGAGGCCGTAATTCATTCATTCATTCATTCACATCATCATATCATTTCTCTTTTGTTTTTCTCTCTCACACCATTTGCAAATACCAAATACAAAATAGAGAACACAAACTTTCTACTTCTCAATCTCAATCTCAATCTACCGTTTCGTTTCACATGGCGAAGAAGAGAAAGTCCGTGGCCACGCGCCTCGACGAAGTGGACCGTACCATGTACTCCACCTTCTGCAGCACCGCTAACTCCCTCTCTCACCTCTACACCCACGCCATGAATCAACAAAAACTCTCCTTCCAAGCCGGTGAACGTCACGCTCTGGTCTCTTTCCTTTCCCTTCATCCACGCCCTCCTCTCTTTTCCCCTTCCTCTTTTCCCAATTTTCATTTTTTTGATTAAATACCCTTTTGTTTTTTGTTTTCATTTTTTTTGTTCCGTTTTTGTTCTGTTTGCTCTACCGTTTTAGGGTTACCGCTTACGATTACCACTCAGAAATAAACAATTTCTGATTTTCTTTTCCGTCAATCTATGACTTTACTAATTCATTATTGAAGTAACTTGGCCACTTTTCAAATTGCGATTTCAACTCTCTAATTTGTTGATTTATTTGTACATCAAAAAAATTATATATCACTCATTTGTGTGTTTGAACTTTGGATGTGTTCCTTAACGCAGGAGAAATTGTATCAATGGATTCTTAGACAACAGCAAGAAGGATCAAGGGTGACGACGATTGATATAGTTTCCCATTTGCAGGTTTGGTTTTGTTGTTTCTGCAATGTTTTCTGATTTTTCTTTTGGGCTCTTTTTCGTTTTTATTTGTTATGCTGTATTATTAGTATTACTTGTTTCAATGGTAATACTCTCTTCCTTCTCCCTTTTCCATCCAAATTGTTACTGAGCTATTTTACTCCCTTTTGCATTTTCTTTTAGCTTATAGGTTCCTTTGTCAATTGCTTTGAATGTGAAACTGCAATTTAATAGACATCATCCTTAAACCATTGGTCTTATAAGTACTCATGTGTGTAACAGAAACCCTTTTAACTTGTCTCTCTGATTATTATGGACACCGAATACTATTAGTGTCTGCCTTTTTTCCCTGTTCATGATTTTTATTCTTATGCCTTTTGCCATGTGTCAATCGGTTTTTTATTGTTGAATTACGGCCAGAGAATGATTTTTTTTTATTGGGTCTTACTAACCGGACCGATGCCCTCGTTGGAGATGCATTAGAAATCACCGTGAAAGTGCATTAATAACACTATTTAATAATTTTTTTTTAATTTTTGATTTCTTAGCTAGTCTCCTTAGAGTCCTTAGATTGCTGGTTCGGATTTGCCTTTTCTTTCTTCAGGTCACTTGGAAATAATTTCCTTTATATATATGTGTGTCTGACTATTATATTATTTCAGGATATGCATCACAATCAATAAATCCGTTTTTTGATGTATCTTAATAGTTGAATATAGATATAACCATGAGCTATGTGTGTGCATGTAGAATGAACTTGAATATGGAGGAGAGGAGTCACCAATGTCCCCAAGGCAGAACACCCAGACTGCAATGCACCCTAACTTTGGTGCGTCCATACCCTCTAATGCATTTGGCACAACCATTGTAGGGCAGGGAATACGTACTGGGCAACCTGATCAACAAGCAAAGAACTCTGTGTTCTCAAATGCACTTTCTAGCCCCATTCGTCGCAGCCTTCAGCCTTATCATTTGGCACAGGGAAGCTTTCCTTCAAGTAATCTCATGTCTTCTGGGAATGGAACCCGGAACAGTGAGACGTCTTATACCAGTGGACAGAACAGGGACACAAATTCTTCTAACTCAAGTGATTGCATGGAATACTGATGCTGTCATAGTTAGAATAGGGAACAGATTAGGGGGGGGAGGTTCATTTCTGCAATTTGTGGTCATAAATGTGTGGTGAAAATTGTCAAAATTTATTGTGGATAGACTTCAATTTATTTGTGTAGCATTATCATCCAGTTTGAACCTTGAACATCATCTTACATATTAGCTGATAGTTCTGAAAAAGTGTTGGCCATTTCCCAAGCATATATATGTAGTCATTCTAGAGTGTGATATTTGCATGGGATTTTGCGAAGTTAACAACTAAAACAAATATTCTGATTAGTAACGCGATGCTTGTATGCATAATATTATTGTAGTGTTTTTAAGTTATATATGAAAGGGTTTGAGATGAGCAGTTGAAGCTCTGCATTTTGCAACTTTAGGTCCTTGACTTTTACTGCAAAATCTTGCAAGGCAAACCAAAAACAAAATGGATGCATTTCGGTCTATAAGTTTAGTGTGTTTGGAAAACAAGCCAAAAAATTTATAAATATGGATGCAATACAGACCTTACTAGTTACAACTAGGGTTGGTGTAGAAATTGTGGATCTATCACTATTCGTAAATTCAAATGCTCACTTAAAAGATGTTATTAAAATTAATTTCAGTGATAATTATATGGAATCTGGTCTACTATTTTAAAGTTGTCAACTAATACCAGTGATTAGATAGATTCTTTCAATTAAAACCTCTTTGTGTGTGCTTTTAATTTTGTAATTAATGTGTGCATAATTGACCTTATTTCAGCAATAGTTATTATTATTTTTTTAAGAGAGCTTTTAAATGGAGATAATCATTTTTCAAAAAGGAAATGGTTATCGAGCATGACATTAATGTAGACAAATATTTTCTTTTGGGATCCACTATTCTCAGTTTTTTCTTCTGTGGAGTCATTCATTGGCCAAATCTAGGTGAAAACAAAATTTAAAGAAAACTCCTGTATACTTTAATCGTAATATCTTAAATATGATGCAACCTGAAAGATTTTAATAATTTTGCGAGTCTTGGAATTTATAGTGCCGGTTATTACAGTTAAAAAAAATTATTTTTCACATTTATAATAAAAAAAATATGATTTAAATTACTTTTGATATATTTTAAATATATTTAGTTGTTTAAAATTAATTTTATCAAACTTATTAAATTAATTCTATTCAGTTTAAAAATAGTCAATAACACTTACAATGAAAAATGTTAAATAAAGAGAATATTACAGTAATGCATAATATATATATACAAAAAAGTTTACTTATTCTATTCATATATAAATTAATGAGTTTTGTTAACCTTAATACTAAAGGTGGATGATAAATAGCTAATAATAATAAAATTTTATTAAAAATAGAATTATTTATTTATTTTTATAATTTCAATACAATAATTATGTATTTTTTTCATAATTTTTTTTTATTTGTAGACTTTATTCAGCCTTAATAACTAAAGTTAACAAAATCTTAAATTAATTTAGCATTCTTAAAACTTTAAAATTCAAAAATAAAAACTAAATTCACATTCTACCTTAAAAAAAAGGCTTTCTTCCTTTTGTTGTTTGGTCCAAAGGCTTTCTTTGTTTTAAGAAGTTATTCAAAACATGGGATCGAGAATTGGGGCATAGTTGTCTGAGGCCCATATATAAAAGTCTAGAAGCAGAACAGAAGGAAACGTAAATGAAAGTGTCCCTTGACCAAGAAAAGAAAAAAAAAAAAAAGTGATTGGCGCCTTGGCCTTGAAATTTTGGTGCTCGTTTCTTTTCCCTCTATTTACTAACTTTCAACATTCATTCATTGATTCATTCCCGCGCGCACTGTTACTGTTCCTGTCTTCCGCACTCTCCCTCCGATTCCATTCATTCAGATCAGTTACCCCTCAGAGCCTTCTCGAAGGTTCTCAACTCAACCCTCCTTCTCACCTTTTCCTTCAACTTTTCCTATACTCTATTCATCATTCTCCGCCGATCAAACTTACGTATCCCTCGCTTTCGCCTTCTTTCCACTCTACGCCGCCATGTAATACAATTCTTCGTTTTGTTTTTATTGCATGTTCTGTTTCGATTTTTCTGTTTACTTTGTAATCCTAATCACCTAATAAATAAATTAGGGTTTTGGTGCGCATGGACATGTTATTTAGTGTTAGGGATTGTGATTCTAATCTCAATTGGAGCTGCGTGATTGACTATTAGATCTTTCAATCGCCTCCAACAAATCGATGATTGTGTAAATAAGGATGAAAAGTGAAACTGCATTTTTTTATAATTCTAGTGAAATACAGAAATATTGTTGCTTATGGTGATTTTCGTTCTCAATTGCAAGTTTAGAGTTTGTACGAATTTTGAATCTGATTTACTGATTTGTAGTGGATATAATGTCCGCATAATTATTCTTATAGATTTTACAACGTTGTTGGGTCTGTTGGTTCCCATATATGAAATTTAGTTGCGGTAATATGATCTGATAAACGCTCATCTAATGTTATCTGTTTGGTTTTTTTTATGTCAGAACAGTAGGTGCTGAAAGTAAGCCTGGATTATTTTTATTTGATGAATTTTCAGGTACTTCAAATTACCCTTTAGTCCTTAAATCCTTTTTACCTTATTGTTGTTTTAGATTTTGGTGCCTTCTTTTTTGTTTTTGGCCATTCTTTGGTGCTCTCTCGAGAAGGATAACAACAGAGATTATGTTTTTATCATCATTTTCAGGAAGCTTAAACTATAATGAAAACTGGTAGATCACTAGACAGCAAAGCTGTAAAGGCTTCTGGAAAGTGCAGTCTGAAGACAGGCTCTATTGGAGTGAAAAATTCTCCCAAGAGAACAAATAAATGGGATCACAGAGCAAGAGGTTATATTTTCCTCAATCTGTTGTCTGTATTAATTTAATAGTGTTTAGTTTCTTATTGTCCTCTCTCTTGATGACTTAATTTGCTGTGTCTTAGAAGAAATGCATCTTTTTATTTTCTTGGATGAGGTGACACTAGGTTTGTAATGTACAAAAATGTTCATTTGCCATTATGTTATACATTTTGTCAAATATAGTTAAATGCTTTTCTATTTAGGATGTGAGGGGTTGTTGACCGATAAAGAGAATCAGCATTTCCCATCTAAGGAACATGTGAGAATGTGCCCAGAACTTCCCAATGAAGGTACTTTTCTTACAGAAAAGAGAGAGGCTATTGAACTTCATTCTGGACAAGCGCTCACTTCTTCTGCAAAGATTAAGTTACAACTTTTTCCAATCAATGAAGGAACTCGGATAGGACTTGAAAAGGTCACATGGTGCTTTGTGTATCATTTGAAAAATTGGATATACTTTATATCTGTCCTAGCTTGCATTCTGTTAGTCTTAATGCTTGGACTACTTTCCTTTTCAGGATGGGCATAATCCTTATTTAGAACTTACACTTGGAGGTCGAAAGAAAATATCTTCAGTTCTTAAACACCTTGGAAAGAAATGGGGAAGTTCAAGGATAGCCAAAGGGGAGCCTGTACTCTTTCCATATAAGATAACTGGAAACCTATCTGACTGCAGAAGGTGGACAACTAATGATAGTGACACAACAGCCTCAGCTGTCCATGCTGCTGTTGGAAGCCCTGCAATTTTCCGGTTGAAGTATTATATCCAATCATCTATTATATGTATCCTTTTCTTTGTGAATATTGGTTGGTTTATAAGTACATAGTTTTGTAACTTGTTCTCTCTTTCAAGGTATGGCTGGTTCTACATACATGAACTTAGGTCTTTTGGCATAGCTTCCACACCAACTCCCCATGAACCTGGTGTACTTGGAGGAACAGAGGGAGGTAGTGATGCTAATTTAGAGGAGACTTTATGTGTTGAACGGGACAAGGTTGAGGTAACAAGCAAAGAATATAAAACAATTGATGTGGGCAATGCATCAAGTGAAATTGTGGCTCAGAAAATGGATAATGAAGCTACTGATCCTACGGTAAACTGTTATGTAGATATTTTGGTGTGCAATATTATAACTTACAGATAGTTTCATAAATTGCAGGCCAATTTTGTATTAGGAGACCTGGGTCTTGCTGATGGATCTGGTTACAAATATTAGTTTAATGTGTAATTCAAGAACATTAAAGTTATTTTTATGATGCTTTGCTTTATTGACTGATAGAATTATGGGAAATGTTTTGGAATATATGTTATAGAAATTTATAAGAGAAGTTCAAAAAGTGATGAATTAATTTTATTTATGATAGCATAAGCATAAAAGCACTTGGGCTCTTTTCATGCAAATAAATGTCTATATTTTTCTCGTCTATTACATGTTTGAGAAATTTTTGTTGGTTGGTCCTCAATTTTATGAATTTTGAATGCCAGTCCTCTGACAAATTTTGATATGTTAAATGCCTGTTATAACTAGGATAATGAGCCAAGAGTAAGTAGTAGCCTTCAACAGTCATCATTTCCATGGATTGATAATCTAAGCAATATAAGCATTGGGGGCCTTCTGTCTGAAGCATCATTACTTGGTGGACTTGATACAAAATCATTTGGCTGCAATTCTGCCATACAATCTGACTCGCTGGATGCTTTTATTGCTGCCCATCTTAATCATCCTCCTGTTCCAAGACTACCAGCTGAAAACTTGCGTACATCTATATTGGATGCTGAAGAAACATGTCATGCATTTCCTCTTCAAAAGTTATCTTCCTCAGCAGACGTGCAGACAGCTCGTGGAAAGGATTTTTTTGTGGCATGTAGTCAGGATGTTTCTTCAAACTCATTAAAGTTGCCAAAAATAGACAAGGTTAGTTTCTCTCAGTCTTCAATGAGAATCCAGTATTGAAATGCAAAAAAGTTTCATGTGGATGTTGTGTATGATGTAAAAACTGAGTATGGAACAAGTACTTTTGGTTTTGATGAGGAACATCTACTTTTGATCCCTATATCTTGGTCTTTAACTTTTCTGGAAAAATATGGAGGCTTCTGTGAAAGGAATATCTGAAGTTTCAACTGCACAAAAAAGCCTTGCTAATGCGTGTTTCTTTCATATCAATTGTATTTCTGCTTAGAATTTTTTACCTGTGCATATGCACGGGGCACTGTTACTAGTAATTAATACAATGACTTATAATATAACGTAGCATTGGGACGGAAATTGGGGTTCAAATTGATGTTGGATTAATATTATGTTTCTTTTAGAATACCATGGAGTTGTATGGAATGTTATCCATTATTACTCTGCCCTTAATTGTCTCTCGTGGTGTTGTAAAGGGTAATGGTGGACTTCCACAAAATCCTCCATCTGGGAAGTCTCAGACAGACCTGTCGCTTTCTTCACGCTCATATGATGATGAAAGAAGTCTTGGGTTAACAGACATCAAATGGGTATTTAATTTTTACTATTGAGATATTCAGTTTTTGTTATCCATTATCATTATTTCTGATTTAAGTATCTGAATGCAGAATGACTCTTTGGGACCTTTTGATCTTGGCATGCCAACTAAGAAGTGTATTGGCGGAGATGGTGTTAGCATTGGTGGATTTGTTAAATAGCCTGTAGCAGCTTAGATGCATAATTTGTTGACCAAATGACTCCATTTTAAAGATACGTTCTTAGGAAAGAAGAAAAAGGAAATTGTACATAATAGAAATACTTGCCGAAGAGACAAGGATTAGAAAAGGAAAGAAAGAAACGAGCCTGACAGAATACTGAGTTGTTCTAGTTTAAGAATCAGAGTTATTGAGGGGACTAATATTTAGCACTTTAGCATTCGTTTAGTTCCGTGTCAACTATCTTCAGTTGCTAATGTGCTGAAATGTAATTAAAATGATCTATGCTTTTTAACCTTTCATCTTACTCTGCAATAAGCTATGTTATGTGGTGCGAATGGGAAGAAAGATAAGTGTTAAGAAAATCATTGCTATTGAAAATAGAATTAGTTTCTTGCATTTGTAAATTCAACAATTTGAATGTCTGCTGTTTTTACGATTAGCTTGCATCATGTATCGCTTATTATATCCTGCAATTATTTGTTCTAAACATCCGCAAGCACGATGCAAATAAACTTGTGGGTTTCTTCATATATTTTCGTGAAATTTGACTATAATAATATTAATGAAAAACTTTTGAAAGAATAATGTGTTTACTAACGTTGATTTAAAAGTAGATTGTAAAAACAAATGTTTGAAAAAAATATTAAATTGGTATTATGAGGTAAGATTTTTATATTTTAAAAGAAAAAGTCAAGTTTTTACTATTATTAACTTACAAACTTCATTCAAAATTTATTTTATTTTTAAAATATAACAGTTAATTTTATGAGTTTAAAAGTAGCTACAACTAAGAATTATAGACATGAAAAAGTTAATCATCTCTCAAATAACGAAATATGACCAACATGATGTGTGCAGTACAAATGTTCTAATTTGTATACTTTTTTTTTTTTTTCATTTTTTATTATATTCATTATTTTTAACCTTCTTATTAATATGCGGAGTGTAATTTTCTTAAAAAATATATAGTGGTCACACACACACACACACACACACCATAAAATGGCCAAAAAAAGAACAATTATTTGGATTATAGCATTGTAGTGTAGCTAGGGTCTTGTGATGATGCCGCTTCGTCAAGAACATAGTTCCTATATTGTAATTGCTGATGAAAATAGTAATCCAAACATTGGTTTTCTAGTCTCATAATTATCGTTGACGGAGAAAGCCGAAGTTTAGTGATCCATAATTCCAAACATTTGAATTCTCAATCGTGCCGGCTATGGGAATAATATCCCTTTATTTATTTGATGATGTATGATACTTTTTTATATATCCTCAATAGCCAAGGTTCCATGCAGCTTCTTTTCTCCATCAAACGCTTCTATATTTTCTTTAACCACGTTTTTTTTGTTGTTTGGGTCTTCCTAAAGTACTGAAAAAGAATCATATAATTATTTTCTATCTTTAACCTAAAATAACATTTTCACTGTTCATATCTATAGACATAGTACATGCTGTGTTGATACCGAAACAGAGATAATTTGGAGTTTAGAGTGGCCATATGGGATGCGTTAACAGCACATACACTCCCCCTCGAAGCCTAAACGGCAACTTTGAGAGGTTGAAACGAAGCAAGGAACATACAAAGAAGGAATACTATTCAAAGACACATTCATCAAATTATGTGCACGCTGGAGTGAGGTTGGAAAAGGTGAGAGTGGTGAGTGAGAAGGGCCATAATAATATTAAGGCTTCAGCTGGTGGTATTGTTGAAGGAAAAGAAAGAGACAATAATAAGGTAAAGGGTGGCAAGAGTGAGATTGGAAATGTGTCAGAGAGATCTGAAGAAAAGAAGAACATTGCAAGCTATGAACTTGTCGAAGGATGGCCAAAATGGCTCGTTGATAATATCCCACAAAGCGTTTTGGCTAGTTTGGTTCCCAAGAGTGCCGATTCATATGAAAAACTTGGAAAGGTAAATAATAATATCTATATATTATCGATTAAGTAGACACTCTTTATATAGATTTTTACATATGCAAAACCTGGAAAGGTAAATTTATTGATTGATTCATTTTGTTAGACATCATCTAAAAATGTAAAAAAATTATAGCAATAAATTATTAATGATATTTTGAATAAAAAAAAATCGTATTTTTAATTTCTTAGTCAATGTAGTTGTGGAGTTATTGTACTAAATAGCATTCTTTTTTCATTCACTAAACATGAATAAATTAAAGTTGTGCATGTCCGCTTAGTTAAAGATAATGATTAAAAAAATAATAAACAAAAAAGTTTTATAAAAAATAGATATATTAACAACATTGAATATTATATTTTTGAGTAATCTTTAAAATTTGTATTCCTCAATATTATGAATTTAGTATCATAGGAATACTCACGTTTAATTTTATCTTAAATTTGCTCTAACACCAACACACAGGATTTCACATGCATGTGAGTTGAGAAAGGGGTTTTAGTTGGAGTTATTGTAATTAACTTGTTTATTTGGGTTACAGGTAGGACGTGGAACATATAGCAATGTATATAAAGCCCGAGATAAGGACAATGGGAAGATTGTTGCTTTGAAGAAGGTACGGTTTGACACATCGGATTCTGAAAGCATAAAGTTTATGGCAAGAGAGATTATGATACTTCAAACGCTTGATCATCCCAATGTCATCAAACTTGAAGGATTAGCAACATCAAGGATGCAATATAGTCTTTATCTTGTTTTTGATTACATGAAATGTGACCTTACAAGAATTATCTACCACAGTGGGGAAAGACTCACCGAACCACAGGTTTCAATTCTTTCCAAAAATTTATTTTGAGATGTTTGTGACATTGTGATTTGTTGCTGCTACGAGAGGCTATAGATTGTTACATGATAGATTCTTGTTGACGAAACACCCATTTTAAAAGTTATGCTCTATGTCAGTGATTTGTCTTTTAATTACTTTTGATTTAGTTAAGCACTTTATGATAAATGGTGATGATTATGGAGTGGTTTGGTTGTAAATTGTAATTTATGCAGATAAAGTGTTATATGCGACAACTACTTTTGGGGCTGGAGCATTGTCATGAGAGGGGAATTATGCATAGAGATATTAAACCTTCTAACCTGTTAATAGATAAAAGAGGGGTGCTAAAAATTGCTGATTTTGGGTTAGCAAATTCTTTGGCAATAAAACCTGAAGGGCCTTTCACAAATCGAGTGGTGACACTTTGGTATAGAGCTCCTGAACTTCTTTTAGGTTCAACCCATTATGGATATGCAATTGATCTTTGGAGCATAGGATGCCTGTTAGCTGAGATGTTTCTTGGAAGACCAATTATGCCCGGAAGGACAGAGGTAAAATTTCATTTTATTTGTATAAAATTCAATAAATATTTTAGTTTGGACACCATTCAAAATGATGATTGATTTGATCATTTTAGGAACTTATATTTTAAGTCATGTAACATTCATGTTCTAGTATTTTATGTATTTTTTTATGTTTTGTTTAATTAAAATTAGAGTTTAATTTCAATAACTCGTGATCACTTTAAATGCAAACATTTTATTAAAGTAAACTTTTAATTTTAATCAAATATAAAAAATTTGCTTATAAATTTTATTCTTTATAAAAAAAATAAAGAGAAAGAAAATATTTCATTCCATTCTATCCCAATGTCACATTGTATTTAAATGTTATTTTCTTGACATTGCGAGCATGCCCTTCTCTGGAAGGTATCTATCAATTAAAGCTACCAGTGGCAATTTTTTGAGTCTGATTAGCTACCAAGCATTTTGTGTATATAGGTTGAGCAGCTTCATATGATTTTGAAACTTTGTGGTTCACCTTCAGAGGATTATTGGAAAAAAATGAAGCTAGTAACAAGCTTTCGTCCACCACAACATTATAAAGCTAAGTATGAAGAACATTTTCGCTATTTTCCTTCCTCTGCACGTGCCCTCTTAGCTACACTACTTGATCTAGACTCTGAACGTCGTGGCAGTGCTTCCTCTGCTCTTGAAAGTGAAGTGAGTTTTTCTTATTGCTAGTCAACTATAATGACCCTTCTTGTTGCTTAATGTGCAGTTTCATTGGTTCCTCCATTTTGCAAAATTAAAATCTCTTTTAGAAACTTTCTAGATAAATTTCTATAAAAGAAAAAGAATAATATAAAAATAAATAAAACTTTCCTCATAGAAAAACTCTCTCTCTCATAACTATTGTTTTGTAGTATTAAAATAAAGTATCACAAATTTGCTTTCCAAGCAACCTGGTATTTGTATTTTTGTTACTAAATTTTCAAGTTTCACATTCAAACATTACATGAAGAGACATAAACTTGCTTAAATTTAGTGAGAATTTCATAAATTTTTTTGAATTTCATTAATTTTGTGAGTCCTAAAAACAAAATTTCAAATAACAAATTGCTCACTGTTTACAGTTCTTCAAATCTAGTCCATTAGTTTGTGACATTTCAGCGTTACCAATAATAATCTACAAAGACGAGGATGAACGGTCACAAACTAAGAGACTCAAAAGGTATGCTATGAGTTGAGTGTTGAGAAATGTAAGAGCTTTCTTTATCTTTAGCACATGTGCACTACTTTTAGAGATGGAAGTGGAGATAACACATTTCAACATTGCGGCTTTCATATATGACATTTCTATGTAACTAATGACCAATGTGGACTAATTATTTGTTTCTTTCCACAATAAAGGCGCAAGAGATTGAAAAATAAAGGACAAATATATCGAACAAGTACTAGCAATCCAAGCTTGTTAGGAAAGAACCAAACTGTTGAACAAAGTAGGAGAGATTCACAATCATCAAAGGAGGTGAGTTTCATATTTCATTAAATATATCCTTCCAAAAACCTTTTAAAAAAATTGAATTTTACTTGTATCTTAACATGATAAAGTCATAATCCAGTTGAGTCATCATTGACGAAATATTTTATTCAATCAATATTTTAATAATAAGTCATCAAGATACCTATATCTTCTCATGTTTTACATCACCTTGTTTCTCAAAACAAAATTGTGTTTGTCTCTCTTCGTAATAGAATATTAAAAAGAGAGTTTAAGTATACAAATAACTAATGTGTATAGGTTATGTGGTTTTTGGTTTTGACAGGAAAAGAGTGTGGCACAAAACATGAAAGTTCTAAAAACAGGGAATAGTGGAAACAGCATATCGTCACTGTTTATGAACGAGAGGAGCATGAGTATGAGCATGAATGGATCAATATCCCCAGTTTTTGTCTCTAGTATGAGAAAATCCCCCAAAACTGAGGGCCATCCTAATGCTCTTAAGAACATAAAAAACTATACCCTTTTGCAAGCTTCCATAATTGATATGATCAATCACAACGAAGGCAATGAATTGGGCCATTTGCGTAGGTCCTTTTCTACGTTGGATTTTCGGCTTGATCCAGACAAGCTATCAAGTCTCTGGATCAAATAGGAAGTTTGGCCATGAAATGCGATTTTCTCTGCTTCATTCTGTTCTGTAGTTCTTGTGGTTAGAAGTAACGTTTTAATACGAGACATTCTCGGAAGCTATGTGATGAAATAAATGCTCCTTATTTTGGAGTTTGGACATAATGATAATATAACTTACCATTTATCAAATGTTTCGAAAAAAAAAATTATAATATTGTATGAAAATGTATTTTTTATACGAACTTAAATTAAAGCTCTTTATACTTGAATTTTTAGTAAGTGACGTAGTAGTCTAATTCATTAACGTTTGACCTTATATAATTATAGAATAGTTCTAAATTTGTGTACCTTTTTCAAACAAACTCATAATTACTAAATACTTTTTTTTCAAGATAATGAATACATGCACTTACTACATAATATAATTTTAACATACAAATGCTGAATGGTAACATTCCGTATGAAATGTTTTACTAAACATTGGGACTGTTCATTTATTAATTTATAATCTAATGAAAATCGTAAAAACAGAACTAAAAAAAAATTAAATAAGATGAAAACTTCAAAAGTTAAGACCAAAATTTTTTATTGAAATATAAGTTTTGGTTAAAATGTGTAATAGAGAAAATATTTGTTTATTATCTAACAAAAGAAAATCAAAACCGATATAATACAAACTGCTTTAGATTATATTAAAATTAGTTGCAAAACTATACCAATTGAATAAAAGAATTAATGAGATAAATTAGATGATTTTTCTACTCAAGACCAATCCAATCTACCAATATTCCTATAAAACATATTAGCACATGCGTATGTTGACACCCTTTCTTCAAAACGATTTACATACTCGACCAAAAAAAAGCGATTTACATACAATGACAAAGCTCTCTAAGATTAACGCTCAAAGAAATCAGCACCATTCTCGACGTCATCTGTTCTAATGCTTCCGCTTTGCGCCATTAGAATTCTATAAACCCGCTTTGAACAGACCTCACCTAATCTTCTGTCACCACCAAGCAAACCTTCTGTCATCAAGTCCTTTAGTAAAAATTCCTTCTCATGTACCTGCGGCGATAAAAGTAGTCTTATTTTTTATATTGCACCTTCTATCAGTAAGGATAATAAAAATTTCTGGCCATTCTTTTTTTAATTCAGCAGATTATTTGTGACTAAAGCAACTAAAAGATGTCAAAATGCATTTTTACTGTCCTAATTTACTGCAATCAATAAGTAAGGTCAAAACAAAGAAAGTCAATCTTAACAATACGCACCGATTTACTTGGATCCATATAAGAACTCAACAGGGACTTCATGGTTGGGTATTTCTTCCAAATAGCTATGGCAAATCGTGGCTGTACCTTAGGGATAGCCACCAAAGCTTTTAACCTAGTCACGAAAACCAAGGTGAGGAACACAATGCAATGATTGCAAAGCATAACTGAGTGAAATATTGAGTATATATTTACTTCACAATCAAGTCAAACTATACTGATTAAATTGTTAGCATCTTGGAAGGCATAGCATTTAATACCACTTTCAATCTGTGTAATCAGCATTAAAAATGAAAAATAAAAATCAATGGGTGTTAATTCAGGTATCTAGATAATCAAAGTATTAAACATACAAGTGCAAAAGACAAAACAAATTTGAAAAGTACACAACTAGATAAGAACAAGATAAAACAAATGAAGCAAGGTAAACAGAACTTATGCAGTAGAGCCAGGTATTGTTTCAAAGAGCTTATGCAGTAGAAAAATATAAATCCTTCAAACGAGTTTGCCTAATAAATCTCTAAATTACCAAAAAAAAAAAAAAAAAACCTACGAAATGCTTTTTGGTTTGCAAGAACTCAAATGCTTCTGTATTTTCTTATAATACTTTTAAGAGGATGCTATCATTTCTCCGAGCAATATATTCATATAACAATGTAAAATCACTCACCACGAAGATTTCTTTATTAAATTCCGGTCAACACTGTCCTTTGGGATAAGGGATCCATTTGCACTTACAGATAATCGGGTTAACTTCTTTCTGCAGTTTAAATGAACAAAAATGGCATATTATTTTAAAATAAATAAATTATATAACACAGAAAAACAGGTGTTGGGTCTTCCAAATGACACCAATTTTAGTACATGTAACTTCTTGCAAACAGAAAAAAATAAATGCTTCAAGATAAATTTTGAAGAAACAGATTATATGCATGAAAAATGATGAAAACAGGGGGGAAGGGGGGTTGTACCCTTTACTGTTTTCCTTCAAAGATTGACAGGACTCTAATTCAATATAAAAAATAGAGGCACCAAGTACCTAAACTGACAAGAAGCTAGACTGCTAGTCAAACCAACAACATGTTCAGCCAGTTCAGCCTCATCCACGCACTGCCTGGAGTGTACTTTGTTGAAATTAGTTGTTAGTTTTGCCAGAACCTACATAACAATGTAGAACAAAAAAGATACACAAGTTTAAACAAGATAATAATTTAAAGCATGACTTGTTCCTTGTAATTTTGAAAATGAAAGGCCAGTTATTCAACCTCCTCAACAGGTGGACGTCTCCAACAATTATTGTTTTCAGGGTGCTTATATTTCTCTTGTTCCCTGACGGATCATAAAAATCAAAGTTTCAACAAAATAATATTGGGAAATGAAGAGAATAGAGGTTATCAATAAATTGTCCAATGTATCAGAAATCATTGATAGACATTTAAATAAAAATATATCAAGAAGGAAAAACTAGTATGCATGGATTTTTATGGTCAAGAAGATAGTATACACTATGAAGCATCCTCTTGGAAAATTTTCATTACAAACTAGATGCAGAATGAGTGATGATTAGTATTTCTTTTAATAGATTTACAAGTAACAAATATGAATATGAGTTTGCAAGTTAAGGTTTATTCAAATACATATATAATGTAAAAAAGTTATTGAGTAATTCTAATACTTTTTATTATATTATATTCCTTTAATTTGTTTTGGGAGAGTGATAGAAACTCTATAATGCTGTGGTGGAGATGAACTAGCTAACATTCACACACAGATATGTGTATGTACATACAATAGCAACATATCACAATACGCAAAAACATAAATGTGGCTAATTGCTAGTAGAATTGATGTACTAAGAAATTTGTAATATATTACTCACCTTTTATTTATGTAAGCCAATAGCCTATTGGTGATGTAGCAAACTGTATAAGCTGGATAATGACTTCGAATGCTAGAGAGTTGGTAAAAAAGAGAATCATTCATGGTGAGGTTACAAAATTGTTCAGCCTCATAAACAAGCAAGATATATGGAATATCAATTCTTTCAGCAGAATGCTGCAAATAATAAATGAAATTGATATCAGTGAAAAAAATAGAATCCTCAGAAAAATATTCATCTAATTGTATGGTTACTGAGACATGATGTTGGTGTCATGAAAACTCTCTAGGCATGTCCATAAATACATGTGTGCATAATTGAAACTTTAAACTTCCATTTCAACACTTTGAATTGAAAAGTGCTGATGAAGAAACATATAAGATTACTCCTGAGGAAAAAAAAATTATGTACAGACAACCAATTATGAGATTATAACCAACAAAGCAAAAGCAGGCAAGGCAGCATAGAACCCATGTAACAACGTGCTCTCCACTCCTCCCTGAATTTAGCTTCATTTTTTCATTGCTATTCATTAGACTTCCCACCATAACACTTTTAAGCTTTAAAATAAAATCTATTGAATGTCACAGAAAATAACTAAAGGATACTGTGTCAGTTAACCCAAATAAAAACAGTATAAAAGAACAAATCAATGTAGAAATTTCACCAAAAAATAATTAATATTGTAAATAGCAAGCAACTGATGTGGATAAGGAATAGACCAAAAAATATAAGAAAACATTTAAAAAGATTACAGACAGAAATGCTTAATGAGTTCAGTGCTTAAAGACAATAATATATATACAGGCATTTCTTACCTGTGAAATATGTTCTGGAACTTTCATAGACCATAAAATTGACCCTGTGATTGGATTTGATGTTATGTGGTATGCAAGCCCTTTTTCAGCAAACCTAGAAAGCAGATGTCCTGAAGCATGGAATAGAAGGACATAGAAATTAAGATACTAAAAAGTTTTATGAGAAAACAATCATAACTACATAGAAATTATCAAGTAGTTATGGATTCATATATCAATAACCTACCTCCAATTGAACCTGATTCAACTACCTTTGCATCAATTTCTGCCACAATAGATTTTATTGCAAACTTGCCTTTTTCCCACTTTTGCTTTTCTTTCTCAATTTTTTTCATTTCTGCAGCTTCAGCCTTCAGAGCTGCTTTTCTTAACTTTTCTTGCTGAAGAACAGATTTTCACGAGCTATTATTTCTGAATCATGATTGATATAAAGTATAAACAATTATCAGAGATGTAAACTGAAACATACTTCCTTCTGTAATTTCTTTTCCTCCATCAGGCGACTTCTTTCTTCTTTAGTCATTTTTGTTTTTCCCATTGCCTTGGCTGTGCCCTTAGCAGAAACTTTGGATCTTTTCATATTTTCCACGCTCTCCTCCTGCTCTATGCTCATATTTTCCTAATCAGGATGACCATAAAACTCATAAAATAGCAAAAGAGATTCTCTCCAATTCATGGAGCAAAATACAAGCACAGGAAAGTCAACGCAATCCACTTTTTCATTTGAAGCAAACACAATAGAAAAAACTAACTTTATATTATCAATGAAAATCAAATAGAGAATAAATAATTAAATACATGTGACACAACACAATAAACAACTAACCACTTGTGAAGAGGTTGGATTTGAAGGATTGTCGCCAGACATTTCAGTTCGTGCAGCATTTCCACCTGAAACATGCCTTGCTGTAATTATCAACCAGATAAACAAATCATTTCAGATGGTAAAGAACAAGTGTAACTTGTCAGCAAGCATATACCAGGAGAACTTCCAGACGCTAATGAATTTGAAGACCATCTTGAATCTCCAGCAATATCCATAGACAATCCTCTTGTTTCATTCTCGTCCAATTTTCCCGTTCCACAATTTTCTGACTCGTTATCTGATTCCAACAATATCATTTGACTAATTCCTGAATAACAAACAGACAATTCAATGCCGTTCAGTGAAATTCTCTCTTCTCGAGTTATAATGAACATTTCAAAATGAATAATAATAATAATAATAATAAGTAATTCCGGGAATGCTAGGGTTCGATCAGGAAAAAAACAAAAGAACTATGGAAAATGATGCATCCACAAGCATTTTTGAAAAATAAGACATGAAAACAAAAGCAAACACAAGGAATATATAAAGTACGATAGACAGAGTGAGAAAATGTAGTGACCGGAGAACTTCTTCGGGGAAACCCTAACGCTGTGATGGGAAGGAGAGGAAGGATATGTGCATTTGACGATAGCGACATCGGAATCCAGTAGCGCCGACATTGGAGTTTCGGGAACGATAGAAGGTGTGGATGACTTCTGTGGGGTTGGGTCATCGTCGAGGATGAGGACGGTGGGGTTTTGGTTTGGGTTGGATTGGGTTCGGCGTTTCTTGGAATGGAGGGGGAATGGTGTTGAAAGGTCTTCCTCGTCGGAGAGGATGATGGGATCCATCATTGGGAGGAGAGAGGAGAGAGCTTCAACTTCTGCTATGCTATGGTGTCCACTGGAGTGAAGTCTGCTTCTTTCCGTCTTCGAATTAGCGCGGGATCGTTCTCGCCGGGGTCTGTTTGGTCACCTCCATATCATATCCTCGTTTTCTCATAACATCAACCCCAAACTCAACAGAATTCTCTCGGCATTTAATGTAACACAAACTTTAAACTTGAGAGTATCAATTGAAAAAATTGTTAACATTAATCTTATTAATTATTAATAATAATATTTTATTTTAAAAAATTATCATATTTTTATAAATTTTAATATGATTAATTTATTATTTAGTAATATAAAAATATATTGCTTTTATATACCTAAACTCAATTCAAGTTAAGGAAATTTTTAATTAAATTGAAATAATCCAGTGGTGATTAATTTATGTGTTTAATGGTTGAATTTACATTTTTTAATTGAAAACAAAAATAATAGAAGAATTAAGAAACAAAGCCTATACTATCTATGAGCAGTAACGTGTCAATTTGCAAACTCTTATTTTGACGAACACCAAGGTTGGCAAAGTGATGTGCTGCAAAATTAGTTTCTCAATGCATGTAAAACAAAGGTAACAGGCCATTGTTTGAGCCTTAAAATTCAAATACAAACGATAGCAGAACAACATATTTGTGCATATGAGAAACAGTCTTGAAACGCAACGAAGTAACTATTTAAGGCTCAAAGATTATGTTAGATAGCTTTTTCAAAGATTAAGTTGAAAAAATAAAGCTTACATATGCAAAGTGTCTACTGCATTTGAGGCAGCCATTGATTCCAAGCTTGAGTTGCCATGATTCAGGCTGGGATTTTATAATAAATTCATTTGTTGGTGGTGTAGGTTTCACCCTGAATCACTGGCCACTCTTTGAACATTACTTTTAAAAGGTAATCTTAATTTTACATAATTTAAATTACCTTATACTGATTGATTTGAATTATTCTATATTAATCTTGATTTTTAAAATGATTAATAACAATTATTATAGATCAAAAGAAAAATATTACTAAACATGTTTATAATGCTAATAATTTATCATATAATAAAACATCCACTAAAAAAATAGTTAATAACTTTGAATTTTGTAAGGAGATTAATTTTTATAACACTTTCTCACAGCTTTTGAAATTTAATTTTTGAAAGTATGTTTAATACATTTTAAAAGCTAAAGTTTAATATAAATAAATTTTAAAAATTATTTTTCAGAAGTGAATTTATATATTTCAAAAACTAAATTTTAAAAGTCATTTGTAAATAGCTTTCAAAATTTAATTTTTGGAAGTACAATTATACATTCCCGAAACAAAATTTTAAATGTAATAATAAAATATTTTTAAAATAAAATTTGAAAGCATTTTTGCAGCTTTCAGCAATTAAATTTGGAAAGTGATTTATAAATCAATTATACAAATTAAATTTTAGAAATAATTTTATATGTTTAGGAAGGTATTGTTTTCAAAAATTAAATTTTAAAATTTATAAAATAAATATTTAATTAATTATCTGATAATAAGCAAATTTAAACGAGTGCTTTTATTTTTATTATTTTATTAATATTATACTGCATATTCTTTTTTGGCTACTTAACAGAATTCAATTAGTTGAATAATTAATTTTATTTACTTACTCTAATTTAATCAATTAGCTATATAAGTACAGGCTTTCAATTAATTTTACAATTACAAGTTATGAACTTGTAACTTTTAGTTACTCTTACTAAACAGATTCTTCATTCTCCTTATTTTTTTATAGCTTAATTCCCCTATTTTGATTATTCCAAGTGAGATTTAAACTAATTTGTTTTCTATTTCTCCTTTTGGTACACAAGTTCTTTGGCTTTTTGCACCGGTACCAACAATTAGTTATAGTCTATTCAGTTTAAAATATCTGTTGTTGTAGAAAATTGTTTTAATTTAATTTATTCTCTTGAATATATATATATATATATATATATATATATTGTGGTATTCTATATTTTAATTTGATTATTTTAGTAGATAATTTGAAATTATACAATAAAAAAGTTATGACAATTGTAATAATATAATATGTTTTTAAATAGAATTTATTTAATAATCTTATATCACACCATGCATGTATGATGCCTAAATATGAATATTTAGCCAAAATATCTAGGTGATTATCTCAATTCTGCCATTAGTCAAGATCGACGTAGAACCGAATTAAAACCCGTAAGATTGAACCAATTCAAATATTATTATTAAGTCAAATCAAACCTAATCTAATAATCTTATGAACACCTTGTATATATAAAATTAACGTCCTAAAAACATCTTCTTGTGAACTTTTTTTTTATTTTTAAAAGGACCATTACTAGTAATATTATAGTATTGCAGTAGGGGTAATAATTAATAAATTGCAATGGCAAATGGGAAAAAATTACTGGTTGGGAGGTAATTCAATGTTTTTAGAGGATATTTAGTTGCTTAACTCGAGACCATATTAAGTTAGATCAATTCTCAATCAATTGATTTGTGTATTTAGTGTTTGTATACAATCGATTTTAATTACGTTTGGACTGAAGATTCAGTGAGTTTAATTAAGAAAAATTAGACCACACCATAGTGAAAGTTATCTGTTCGATTTCGTGTTCATTTAGCTCATGACACTGAGGAGTTATAACGATAGAACGTTCTCTTTCTTATGATATGCCATTCATTATAAAAATTCATACTACAGGTATCCTTTAAAATTTGTTACATGAATATAAAATGTTCAAAAATAAATGTGAAGAATAATAACAACAATTATAATTTATGGTATTATTTTTTTTTCTTTTATCAAACAGCTTAAAAGAAATAATGTTTTCTTTTTTTCCTTTCATTTTATTTCTCAACCAAAACATCATGTAAGGGTAAATTCTACAGCAGTTGTCACTGGGTGCAAGTGTTGGAAGTTTCAAAGAAAAAGGCTTAGTAATTCATCAACTGGTTCAACATGTATTTCTTAAAAAAATTTCTTTTGTTTTTCTTTCCATCAAAACAAACAAACTGTGGTGTCTACCATGAATAGAAACCAAGACAACTTTTGACCCAAAAAAAAATAAAAATAAAAACAAGTGCTATAGTACATATTATGCAGTCAGATCCACTTTTCGTTTAGAGGGCACTTGGAATCATATACATCTCTCGTTAAGGCCTTATAGCTATAGAGAGGAAGTTGGAGTGGAACATCGTGTTCATGGGTACACCTCTGTCGTACATATCTTTGCAGGATTCTTGACAAATGCAAGTCTTGGTTGAATTAATTTGTAGCAAAACATTATCTAATTTTTTTTCCCCAAGCATTTGGTTTTATGTTAGAATAAATTGCGATAGCAATGATAATTTTTTGCAGGATTTAATGTATGGTATTGACACATCATTGAGGTTTATAATTGCGGGAAATGTTAAGTTGGTCGACGTCACGGTCACGTTGACGTAGCGTAGATGATGAGTGGACGGCCAACAAAAGCACGTGAGCTTGTACCCTGCGTCGCTACTCCAAGCAATGAAGCAAAAGCAATTATGCACTCTGATAAGTGATTCATATCATATAAGATGTGATTACCTTTTCCTAATCCTCTTAACCACACACTAATGTGTGAATAATGATAAGCACAGCAATTAGCACCAAAGGCGCTGAGAAAGCACGTGACGGCTCAGAGGGCCCAAAAGCGCGGTTGATGCCGGGCCACGCCAAGGTTCGTCATCGACCACACCCTTTTTAGAAAAATAAATTTGTAACGTAATATATTTTTAGTTATTAATTAAAATTTGTGTGAAATTTAATTTTATAATTTTTTATATTTTTATAATTTATAATTAAAGAAATGTTAAAAAAATTATTAACCTTGGTCCAAAGTTCAATAATCAATTCTTTCCATTAGAGAAAAGGGATGTGACCACTGGCCCCTACCCTAAAACCCGGATGCAAAACATGCTCACATTCTATACCAACAATTTGTTGCTCAAATTACTTCATTAGTAACGGGGCTTCCCTTCCCGTGGCACTACCAATCATGTACAACTTGGACCATCACCTCACCTATTTTATTCTATATATATATACATACATCATAAGTACAAAATAAATACTTAAAAGCAATTTTGGTTTATTGGCGTATGTGTTGTCATATGATAGAACGAACTATTGTTCATCAAGGTATTGTGATTACTCAGGACTTAAAGGATAGACTTATCATTAACTTAATACGTATGCTTAATTATTTTTGTATATAATTTTTAATTAATTAATTTATCCTCTTTTTTAACTGAACAAAATATTTCTTCCTTTCATTACTTTTTTATTCTTCCTTCTCTTTCATTGAATTTTTTTTCTTGTCTTTTTTTATTTAAAATAAACAGTGAACGTAACAAAATAGAAATTGGGAACCGTTGGGAGAAGGGTGATGTTGAAAAAAGGAGATCCTGTCCATTCCTTAAAAATATGGAGTAAAGTGATATTTTAAAGTTATAATGATTGGATAAGGAGATTCGGAACTTAGGTGACGTAAAATCTGGTTAACTTGAGTCTTGAATGGGAACGGATCCTGTTACCACTACATGAAATCCTGTCCATCCAATATTTCAAGCGCATTTGCATGGTTTATTTTAAATTTAAGAATTAAAAGAATTAGAGGTCAATTTTTAACATTATAAATTTATAATATGCCAAGCTTTTCGTTTTTTTTTAATAATCGAGAGAATATGTTCCCGTTGACTCGAGTCACATTTTAGAAAGCAAAATTTATTATATAATATTATACTAAGATTGAGGAGAAAGCAGAGATAATTACGGTAACAAAAGTTTGAAAGGGAGAACTCAATTAGAGCTGGTAAAATAAACATACAATATATTCATTAAAATGTATGGTTTAAATTATTAAATTTAGGATATAAATAAATTTAAATTTTTTTAACGTAGTTTAATTAAGTTTGTATAACAAGTCTAATTTAGCCTAATTCATGTAAACTCATTTTTCCGATGATAATAGTAATAATAATACAATTTATATATTTTTTAATTCTTATAAATTTATAAATTTTAATTTTAGTTATTATTTTTTTTGTTCTGATATTTCTTTTTTTTTGAAAAATTAGTCCTTTTAACATGTAATACTTAAATGATAACATAATTAATTAAAATTTTATTACATGTCAATTTTTATATCACTTATTAGTTTTTTTTGTTAAATCAAATTAGTGAGAGAGATTAAAATTAATAGTTTAGATAAATGTCAGGACTAAAATTAATAGAAGGAAAAATATTTTTTTGTTAAAATATGGAGATTAATATTTATTTAAGCCTTATTATTATTTTTGTAATTAGTACATCTTATTCTTTAGAATTTAGTCCTTTGTATAGATAATTTTTTGTTGAAGTTATTTGTTGTTTGTTCTCTAGTCTGAGTCAAATAACTCGATTGACACTCAGAACTTCACACACATATAAACAAGTGTTAATCACAGTTCAATTAGGTGAGGAAAAAGTGTTTATTTTCAAAGAAGTCAGCATGGCTTTTTGTGACGGTGATAAAAATAAATGAGCATCTCTCTTTCAAGATTGAGAACTTAATTTTACAATATAGAAGTCAATTATTGCATGATACAATTCTTTTTTTTTTTTTTTTTGAAGTGATTGTATAAAATGTTTCATGGAAATTGCTTATGTATATCGTTAGCTTTCTTAATTTACTTATTATTCCTAATCTTTTATTTTCCACAACAATTATCTCAAATCTTAAGCATCACTTGGAAAATTAAATCAGTATTAGGTTTATGTATGGGAAGTTAAGGGACAAAGCAGTCCCACATTTAGATAGGTTCAGTGACTTTTCCATGCACAACAGTGTTCAACGCCCTTATCTGAAAATGATCGAAGCCCCATCAATGTGGGTCATATATTTTCGTTCATTAATGCTTGGTTTCCTTTCTTGCTTAACTAAGTTAAAAGTAGGCATGGTTAAAGGGAATGATTGGGGAAGAAGATAGAGCTATTAAATATGTGGTGCATAAATTAGATGTTACTCTTCCTAAGCTATTGCTGGTACTCATGGACGCATATCGACCACTCTATATAGTAGTAGGGGAAGAGCCATGTGCATGCAAGAGAGTTATTCCGCAAGTCAGGGCAAAAAGCTTGTATATAAGATCAGGTTTTACACTGAATCAAGAGAATTTCACGAAATCTATGTAGTTGTGTAGACAGTGGAGAGATGATAATACATCATATATATATCTTTGCATGCAAATATAAGTGTGTGTATGTGTATAAAAAGGTTTTGTTTGAATACTCAATACGCAAAATTTACTTTGGTAAATTTTATTCATCAAGATATTTTTTTTATAATTGCAGTTAAGAGATATCTTGATTTATAAAAAAAGAAGAAAAACAAGATATTGATAGAGATATGATAATCCATCATATTTCCATTCAAGCCAATACAAAGAAGAGAAAGACAATTTTTTTTCATCACATAAGCATTTTCTTGGTGTCACCGCGTATATATGCACACACAAACAAATATATATGTTCTCACTCCCTCTCTCTTATATCTAGAACTAGTGGTTTTTAAACACCACATTGGTATCTATCTTATTGGAGCTAAGTTGGGTAGGATGGGTATAAATAATAAAGTTCTTCTTACAAAATTTTAACATAATTATATTCTCGAGACTCAGACTTCACTTGAGATTCCCGAATAAGTTATAAATTTCTGCAAAATATTCTACACATTTGATGGTACACATGCATGTTATGAAATTTTAGTTTTCTAAATAAGATTGAAAACGGTGAAAGGTGTTTGAATTTAATCGAATCATGAGAAATTCACAAATTCTTTATTTGAGTGCACAGTGATGGAAAATATTATGCATTTTCTTGAACAAAATTGAAGAAGAGGGCATTTTACAATCTTGAATTTTCATAAATTCAACTGCAGGTGATCCATCCGAATTTTAGATGTAAATAATTGGTTGATATTTGATCCAGCGATCGAATCTATCTATAAAATACAAATTGAGATAGTTTGTAGCTAATTTTGTACACTAGTAAGCAAAATAATAGGGTTATATAATGTGTCATTGTATATACTTAATGAAAGAAAGAGATGTTTCATAAATTGCATGTGTTGGCATCCATGTCTGTCAGTATATATAAGTGAGGAATATAGAAATTCACTCTATCTTGTGATATTGGATGGGGGCCATATGCTTGCTTCACACCTCATTTCATAATCATACATTACAGTTCAAGTTTCGTGTACGCAGGATATTCCACAAAATAAGAATGGCCCCTCCCCAAAACATGCTTCTTCTTATTTTCCTCTTTGTCTTCTTTTATTTTGTGATTTTATTTTGTTTTTGGGATCTTTGGTTAAGGCACAGTGGCAAGTGTTGAGGGACACCAAAGTGCCAACTAAGTAGTATTGAGGAAATGGAACCATTTCTGCTTTCAACTTGGATCCTGTATTTGAAGCAAGTGTTGTCACTTTCAGGGAAGACAAAGCAGGAGACATTGATTTGAACCTAAATCACAACAATATTTTTCCTTGTCCTGAAGGAGTGTACCCTCTTGGCAACTACATAATTTCTTGCCTATAAAAAGAGGGCAACTAGGCCATGTCTTTGGCAAGTGCATAATTTCAAAATTATACCATATTCTCCTAGAGTTGAGTAAAAATGGCTATCTCACCTAGCAAGCGCTTACTTCTTGTTGCTGTTCTGTTGCTTTTCTTCATCACCATGACAGCTAGAGGTGAGTTTGGTTTCATGTTTACATGATTACGATGCTACCAAATTAGAATTAGCCCATTTTTGGTAACAAATTATTTTAGATAAATAATCAATCATTTTTCAAAACTTGTCTCAAAAAGTTGTGAAAAAGTAAGCAATTATTTCTATAAAATAAAGTTGAAGGAAACACACTTAATATTGTATACATAATATTTTAATTTTTAAGCCTATTATTTATGTGATGCTTCTTTCGGTTTCTTGCAGCCAGAAGTTTGAGAGAGAGCAGGGATGAAGCTAAGGGTCAAAGCAATAATTTGTTTAAGCCAAACCATGAAGGGGCACAAGATAGCAATGGTGACTTGGATACAATGGACTACACGCCTGCAAAAAGGAATCCACCAATCCATAATTGAAGTCCCCAATTTTTTTTTCTTCAGAAATTTTTTGGTTAGAAATAGCACCAATTCACAGTGCTTAATTACTTTGCAATTCTATCTAGGACCTTCAATGTATAGATATCGTTTGAATCACCAATTTGTGTTCAGAAAGCACCAGTCTAGCTGCTGCATGAGAACTCACATATAATTGTGTAAATAGTTTTTGAAGTTATGACTATGAGAAATGTGAAGGGAGCATGCTGAGAGGAGTTTTAATTTCAAAGTTCTAAGCAGAACCATATACTGAATATTGTTGTTCTGTAGACGTGCCAGTCACAAAAAACAAATGCTTAATCTTTATCTTATCCCTATACAAGAGAATGTGAGAATTACAAGATTACGTATTATACATGTTTAATGTATATGAATAATCATCAAGATATTATTATTATTATTATATGTTCTTGTAGCAGGGGGATTATTTGAAGTCAATTCACAACTTATAAGCTGTAGAAATGCACGATGGTAAATAAAACAGTGACATAGGCATATACATCTGAGGGGTCCTTCGGTGCTCATACATAAACGACAACTTGGGCTAACCAGTAGTACATGTGAAAGACAAGAAAATGTCAAAAAGTTCAAGAAAATGTCTGAATAAGAATAATATTTTTTACTCCATAGTGCATATGACGTTGACAGATTTTAATAAGTTGATAGGCTACCACGTTTTAGCGATACTGTAACAAGTGTTCTCCTCCATGAAAGGTCTTCAATCAAAGATACCTGACGTTGAAAAGGAGCACAAAAATAACCATTCTTCAAGATATCAAGCCGCAGCGCAAACTAATAAAGGAAAACATTTAAATAAGTTAACGGTTTCTAAAAATATCATATTTTTTATTTTAGTTTTTATATAAATTTTATTTTATTTTAGTCCTTAAAAGATCTAATATTTTTAGAGACTAATAACTTATTTAAGTTTAAGAAAAATATTTTTATATGCTATATATTAAGAGAGAGGAATAATAATATGATGATAAAATAAAATGTTTGAGTTAAATTTTGAAAAGAATGAAAGAGGAGAATTATTTTTATTTTTAATTAACATGATTTAATTTAGTCCTTATTTACTATTAAACTGGGAAATCAATTGTGTTAAAATTATTTTATTTTAACAGAATGTCTCAAATTAATTATAATAAAAGTTTTATTAATTTTAATCTTTAAAATTGAGTATAAGTATTGATAAATAAAATCTTTTATAAAAAGTATATTTATTAAAATATAATAAATATTTCTCTTTTCACTAAAATTTTATTACCCTAACACACATTCAGGCCCAAACACTTTACCTACCCAACCTAATCTCAGCCTATTAATGATTCTTGGAGCGTTATCCATCTCAAGAGTTATGCCCTAGCAAACACTTATCCTACGATTTTCTGATCGTTGTTGCACACATTTGGGATCATCCCAATATAAAGGGGAAAACCCTTCATTGATAGTTATATGATATTCTCTCTAATTATCTCACTAATCTAAATTTCTTTGTTAGATAATCATCAGTTAATACAATAGACAATGTATTTTATAACATTTAATGAATTTATCTAAATACTTTTAAAGATAAAAACTCTTCAATTCAGTTAAGTCTTTTCGTTAGAGAAATAAACAAAGATACGAGGGAGGGAGAAATAACACAATTATACTCGTTTACCCTACAAGCTTATAGTTATATCCAGTGTAAACTTATCATGAATTTTACTATGAAGCACTTTAATTAGATACAAAGTTTATAATTTCTCAAGTATTTTTTTTTATAAGTCTCTTCAAACTTAATAATTGAAATATTCTTTTTAAACCTTTTTAAGTGAGACTTTTTTTTTATAATCTACAAGTTCTAATCAAGGGTCACAATGCTAATACGTACCTATATATGTAAGTGTAACTTTGAATTAATTAATTAAGAGAGAGCACGATAAATGAAAATAACTAATCTTTATTCTTATCATAACAAATTCAAAGAATACTAGAATGTTGAAGTATAGACTTAGTTGTTAGTTCACTTGCACATTTTGCAGGTGAAGATGTCTCGTTTTTTATTTTTAGAAGTATTTTTTAGTTGTTTAAGATATATATATATATATATATATATATATATATATACACACACACATAAATACATAGTAATTTCTTATAAAAAAAAGTTGTTGATTAAAACAACAATTATATTAACAAAAGTGTTTTTAAAACTATTTTAGCACGTAGAATAAATGAAAAGATATTTTACTTTTATCATAAAAGGATAATATTTTATTCTACAAGGTAAATCTTAGTGTTAGGTCTCATATACTCTTTAGTAATATGCTTTTGTATACATAATATTTTTTTTAGGTGTCAATCATCTTAATTTTAACAAGAGTTTAAAGTTAGGAAAACAAGCTACTCCACTCATTTGGGCTACCCTATTGTAGGCAACGAGACTTTGGTAGGTTAAGCTGAAAAACTTAAATTTAATTCAAGCTTGCAAAAATAATGCTTAAGTTCATCAAAGTTTGACTTTTTTTAAAAAAAATTATAGACCTAACATGGCTAAAAAAATTTAAATTTAATTCAAACTCGAATAAATATAAAAATCAAGTCCTATATTGTATTATAGACTTATCAATGAATTAGTAGAATTGTTTGATGTACAATCAAAATAAAAAGAGTTTATAATTTTTTCAAACGAACTTACAAAAAATATTCAAAGTAATATTTAATTTATTAAAAGCTAGCTTTTAATATGTTTTATTTATTTATTTTTTAACTTTTTAAATAATTTAACTCATACAAAATAACTTTAATCTTATTTCTTTGATTATTTAAAGTATTTGAACTAAGTGTATAACTAGTTTTACCAAACAGTTTTAATATAACGAGTAGTTATAAACTAGAAATTTTTATATCAACTACACATTATAAATTATAAACTTTTAGCTAATTTTATCAAATAGAGTTATTATTTCAACTAATATTGAGTTTACAATTGTTTATTTTTTAAAATTTTAAAAAAATATTATTTTGTTAATCTCTCCGTGGAAATGATTTATCCCACTTTTCTCCTTTTTTTTCACAAGGCTCAAACTTTTTTTTTTCTCATTCTTCTTTATTGCATAAAAATAAAAAATATATATATTTACATATATTCTATATTTCTCTCTATTGGTTTTTTTTTATTCGAACAATTAATACATCTTTTTATTCATCATTTATTCATTATATATATATATATATATATATATATATATATATATATATATATCTTTTTTTTTTTCTTCTTCCTATATTGCTTTCATCAACTACGCAAAGCACGAGAGGAGTTCTTTATCGGATTAGGCCGTTAGGTAGTTGTAATTTGACAAGACGAATAGTGGTTATAATCTATCTTTCAAGAGATAGAATCCGCATATCTGATCCTAAAAGCCACAAAGATCTTGGCTTTTTATATAAAGTTCATTTTGGGTTAAAGGGAAAAATAATGTAATAATCTTTAATTAATCAAATAATGACTATGTTAGAATACAGAATACAAATAAAAATATTATTATTTAAGCAATGCTTAATGATCTAAAAACGTGGATATATAAAACAAATATTATGCTATCGTATTTTATTTTACCATAGTCAACTTTTGGATACCTGGGAGTGATTTAACTATAAATGAAATTTAAGAAAGACACATGTAAGAACAATAAGAAGATTAAGGTGATTATGTTAGTTTGAAATTAAACTATAATACTAATTATTACAAATAAAATTTTTAATACTCTGAACTCTCTTTAAAAATTGTTTACTTTCTTATAATAGTTTTGATCTTACTATGCCAACACGAGCTTTTGTAGTGTAATATTAGATAACGGTTAGTAAAAATCGCTTTATATAAGAGATTAAAAGAGCAATTGTAAACGAATCATTCTCTAATATACACTTATCAAAGCAGTTTAGTTAGAACCGCTCTCCTAACTTAACTTGGATCTTAACCGCTCTCAAAACATCTAAATTTTAAGGAGCAGTTCTAAATAAACTGTTCTCTTATATATATTTATAAGAGTGGTTCATCTGTAACTGCTCTCTGAAGTTAACTTGGAGAACGGTTGCAATCGCTCTTAGAAGATCCATATTTCAAAGAGCGGTTGATACATAGAACTGCTCTCTTAGAGATTACAAAGTGGTTTACACATGGAACTACTGTAAGAAGTGTACATTAGAGAGCGATTAAGTCTTAACCGCTTTCGAAAGTTGATTTTAAAAAATAACCCTAACTCCCAAATCTCGTCATCACTGTCCTCGCGACTACTCTGTACTTCCAAATTTCTCTGTGATCCTAGTGTTCGCTAAGGTATTTGCATCATAGAACAACCACCGTTGACATTGCATTGGCACTCAGAAGGATTTTTCTTCATTGTTTCTATGTTTCTTGAAGCAATGTATGTACTTTCGCACTGAAATTTTCTCTCTATGCTGACTGGCACACACTTTTTTTTAGGTTATTAGTTACAAAAACATTCCTTCTTTCATCTTTGGCTTTAGGTGAACTGCGACCAAATTTGTGCCACAATATTATTTCAAGGTTAGTTAGATTGTATCTTTTATTTGTATTTTTTGAATACTATTGTCGCCTTACAGATAGCTTGAAATTTGTTTTTTAGTTAGTAAAAGTCTAATTCAAGCCATGTGGAACTTTAAGTTAGTTAATCTATGATATTGTTGGTTTGTTTTAGGGTTTAGAAATTTTTGAACATGATACGACATTGATTTTCTACAATGCAGCCCACTAATTTGAAAGTGCATTTTATTGATATGGAAATTGATGTTCTGAAACTAATTAAAACCTTAGATTATTTATTTTTTGTATTTTCTGTTCTTCCAATATCAACGTTTTGCTGCCTTACATGAAATGAAATTGCATTGTGTGGTATAAATGAAATTGATATGAATGAAATTGATGTTATGACTTATGGAATGTTCTAAATGCATTATTATTGTTGATGTTATGTTGTTAAAAATTATGTTTTGAAATTTGAAATTGAGTGAAATCTTAGTTTTCAATAATGATTGAATAAATCATTATTTTCAATCTTAAATTGTCCAATTTGGACAGTTTGTGAACAAAGTTATTCATTCAGTGGTTAGCAAATATTGTTAGATAATGTTGTATTTAATACTTAACAATAGTTTGGTTTAATGCATTTTTCATTGTCTCTTGGTGCATGTTTGATTGAGGTAAATCATCTCATTTCAAGTTTTGTATTAAGAGACTAATGCAAAATGCTGCCGAA